GTCTCCGTGGCCGTCCTGCTCAACACCTGCATCGTCCACTACCGGCACCAGGAGTTCTGCCACTGGGCAGCCATGCTGGCCGCAGCCGAGCGCAGCCCCGCCTGGCCCCTCTCGGCCCAGCACAGCCCCCCCGGCCCCAGGTGAGTGGGCGCCGCCTCCCGCCACCCTCGCAGGGGGAACGCGGCGGGCGAGAGGCCGGGGAGTCCTCCACTTAACGGCCACAGCGCAGCCCAAAAGTCCCGTCGCTAAGCGAGGCCCCTTTGCCCCACCTTAGGAGCCTCCTTGCCACCCTTGTGAAGGGGATTGCTGCAGTTGTGACATCGGTTGTTAAGCGAATCCTGCTGCCCCTCCCCCTGTTGGCTTTTGCTTGTCAGAAGGTTCGCAAAAGGGGGACACAACAACCGTCAGAACTGTGAGCCAGTTGCCGAGTGTCTGAATTTGGATCACGCGACCAAAATTGGGGAGGCTGCGACAGTTGTAGCTCTGAGCTGTTGTGACTTTGAATGGTCACTAAATGAACTGTCATAAGTCGAGGACTCCCTGAAGCTGCTTTGCAGTGCCTTCTGGATGGAGCTGCTCAGGATGCGCCCCCCTCCCCCCTGGTCTCCTCTAGGCCGCTACCTGGCGCCGTATACGGGTAGTCCTCGGCTTACGAGCATTCGTTTAGCGACCAAAGGTGCAAAAGCGGCTTACGACCAGTTTTCACCCTTACGGCCGTTGCAGCCTCCCCGCGGTCACGTGATCAAAATTCAGACGCTGTGGCAACTGACTCCTATTTATGACGGTCGCAGCATCCTGGGGACTCGTGATCCCCTTTTGCAACCATCCGGCAAGCAAAGCCCACGGGGGAAGCCCATGGCTGAACAAATTCAACAACTTCAGTGATTCACTTAACAACACTTGTAGGAAAGGTCGAAAAATGGAGTAAACGTCTCGCTTAACAACAAAAGTTTGGGGCTCAGTTGTGGTCGTAAGCCGAGGACTTACCTGCTCTAAAGGTTTTTTCTTTCAAAGTCTGGCCAGTTTTCAAACTCAAAACTTTGCGGAGAAGGGAGCGATCCAGGTTTCCGACTGACCGGCAGGGACATGGCCGGTCGGCCTGCATTCCGGGCCGCAACTGGAAACAGGCCGGACCGGCCGGGTGGGGTCCGAGGGGCGGGTCAAAGCCGGTTCTGAGCAGCAAGAATTTTGCCCCCTGTCCCACCCAGAAGGGTCTAAGGGTCGTGTCGAAGAAATGGTGGAAGAGAACCATTAAAAAAAAAAAAAGCATGCAAAATGACAAAATTAAATTATTTTAAATAATTAAATTGAATTGTTGATTTGGCCCGTGGCAAGTTTGACCCCTTCCACACCCAGCAGGTCATTGACGCCCGTAGCTGAAGCTGGGAGAGTTCTGCAGAAAAGCACCTTTCAAAAGTGTGTTTGTGTGTGTGTGTGTGTGTTTGTGGAGGGGGGAGGCTTGATCAAGAAAGATGACATTCCCACCCAATTCCCTCAGGAAGGAAGGGTCAGGGCCCTCTGCACATGAATCCCAGAGGTCTGAAGACATCCCAAACCAGGGTTTCCAATGTTGGCCCCTTTAAGACTTGTGGACTTCAACTCCCAGAATTCCCCAGCCAGCACAGCTGGCTAGGGAATTCTGGGAGTTGAGGTCCACAAGTCTTAAAGTGGCCTCGGTTGGAGACCTGGCTGAGGGATTCTGGGAGTTGAAGTCCACAAGTCTTAAAGTGGCCATGGTTGCAGACTGGCTGAGGGATTCTGGGAGTTGAGGTCCACGAGTCTTAAAGCGGCCACGGTTGGAGACAGGCTGAGGGATTCTGGGAGTTGAAGTCCACAAGTCTTAAAGTGGCCATGGTTGGAGACAGGCTGAGGGATCTTGGAGTTGAGGTCCACAAGTCTTAAAGTGGCCATGGTTGCAGACTGGCTGAGGGATTCTGGGAGTTGAGGTCCACAAGTCTTAAAGTGGCCATGGTTGGAGACAGGCTGAGGGATCTTGGAGTTGAGG